CAGAATGTAAGCTCCTTAAAGGTGAAGGCATGCATTAAAAATACATTTAATTCATCCAGGTACGGTGGCTCATGCCTGTAATCCCAGCACTTTGGGAGGCTGAGGCAGGCAGATTATGAGATCAGGAGTTCAAGACCAGACTGGCCAACATGGTGAAACCCTGTTTCTACTAAACAATACAAAAAGTAGCTGGGTATGGTGGCTCATGCCTGTAATGCCAGCTACTTGGGAAGCTGAGGTAGGAGAATTGCTTGAACCAGGACCCGAGAGGCAGAGGTTGCAGTGAGCCGAGATCACGCCACTGCACTCCAGCCTGGGCTACAGAGTGAGAATCCATCTCAAAAAAAAAAAAAAATGTATACACACACACACACACACACACACACACACACACCCATACACACATATATATTTAATTCACTACTTTTTTGAGGTAAAAATAAACACAAGAAAGACTATTACTGATAGTTATAACATTTGCTCAAGAAAAGTTGAAAAGGAAAAAGAAAATCTTTATGGAAGGAAATTTCTCTTATCAAGGAAAGAACAACATACTATTTAGTCATATACAGGAGATCTCTTCTGCATGTTCAGGGTGGAAATTGGGATTAGAGGAGATTGGATATAATCTCCAAAGATTATCACCTGGAGAAGGTGGTAGAGGTGCCAGAAAACACTCGGGTGGAGTTGTGTATGGACTCAGAAAATCATTGCTAAAGGTGGCAGAGGTAACAGAAGAGGTAACAGGAGTCTGTGTAGGTGTCTGTGGTCTCGAAAACTCATCATCTGTAGTAGGTGGTAGATGTACCAGAAGACACTCCGGTGGCATTTTGTATGGGCTCAGAAAATCATCGGCTGAGGAAGGTGGTAGAGGTGCCAGAAAACATTCGTGTGTGGGTGTCTGTGGTCCCCCAAAATTATCAGCTGGAGAAGGTGGCTGAGGTCCTAGTGGACACTGGAGTCAAGGAGTTGTCAGAGGTCCAAGAGCACCTTTAGCTGATGGGAATGATTGAGCTCCCAGATGACACCCAGATGGAGGAAGTGGCCTGCAACCCATCAGTGGTCTTGAAGGGTTAGCCATGATGTAGGGCGAGTAGGGCAATCCTGAGCAACGATGATGCTGTGCTGCAGTCATATTAACTGCAGGCAGAAGGAGGAAATGTTTTGAAATATATTAATTTGACGGACAGAACCACCACCACTAACACAGGCTGCACCTTATGTTGCTGCTGATAGTTTTTTGCACCTTTCCATCCTCCAGGTTTCAAAATAGCAGCATCAGTGTCATGAAGTCAGTCACCCTTCCACTAAGTACCACCGACAGCTAGGGAGTGAAGAAAAGTCATTGGGATAAACTTTTCTCCACATGCCACTGTACCTGCCTGCAAATGTAGGCAGGCTGGGGGCCAGCCCCAGGGAAGACAGAGTCATAATGCAGTAAGGAAGACACATGTTTCACACACAGGAGTGTCTATGTCTATCCTCATACCTCCCTCACCTCCATCACCAGAGGAAAGTTCTTGCACCAGATAAACAGTGAGTAAGAGAGGCATGAAAAGCTCATTGCCCACACATGTGTTGTAGCTTCTTTTTGGAGAATGTTCTCCAGGCCTTTTATGTTCTTTTTCTGATTCTCAGAACTCTGCAAGTCAGTGTGACCACCTGCTCCAAATCTAAGAAAACAGAGGCTCCCCGAGGAAGGAGAACATGTGCCCAGGGTCACACAGCTTGCAGGAGGTAGAGTGGAAGTTGATTCCAGCTCTGCCTGCAGGACCCTCTCATTTCCCTTCTGTTTCCCTTCTTGACAAAGGGTCTTCTTCACTCTGGGGGTGCCACCCATGAGCACAAATGGCTCTGGGGAAGTGTGGATTCCTAAAGACATGCAGGGGAACTGGGAGAGGGTTTTCTGACAGAACAATCCAACATACAGAAGTCAGTTAGGCATGGCTAGAATGTTTCTTTCTTTTAACTCCCAGGTAATACAAATTTTAAGTGCATTATGACATAAATAATACTTTTGTACATGGAAAAATGAGGTGGAAATTCTGAAAAAAGCAAGTTTTAGAAATGTGTTTAATTTCAAGTGTATAATTCCCATCATGTGTAATCATAAGACTTAGCAGCTGTTGAAGGTACAGAGGCCACACGAGAACCAGCATAGCTGAGCATCATTTAAGGCCTTTGTTGGGAATCGTCGCTGTGGGTAATAGGTTACATTCACTTTCACTAACTCACAGTTGAGGCCTATTTTCTATTACAAATATGGAAATTCTAACACTTAGAATATTAGATCTTGGGCACCACGTATGGGAGTGAAGGTGTTTTTGCACAACACAGTTACTAACAGGAATGAGACTGTGATGAACTATGGAATTGACCTTGTCGAAGACCATTCAAAATTGCACACAGCACGTATTAATGTTGGATTAACGAGTTTTCACTTTCGTCACTTCTGGGAATACAGCAGATATTTCAAATGTTAATCACTTACCTTATAGAAGAAAACAAACAAAATCACAGCAAAATAAAAGAAAACCCCACATATTTCAGAAATAGACCCCACAACATCTTGAGTAAAAGAGATCAGTCAGAGTTCACTGGGCCATGAGACCTACAGCAGTGGAGGTCAGTGGCATTCCTCATGTTATTTCTGGAAACAGAACAGTAAAAGCCCTTCAGCCCTCAGTCCCTACACATTCATGGCTTCTGGAGGTGCCACCCAGGATGACTAGCTGGGAATGGAGAAGCCAGAAAGCTTGTGGGGAAGATTTTGCTTCTGAAAAAGTCCAGACAGAAAAGGTATCACAGAACCGACAGAGCAGAGGCCAGGGCAGGAGAGGACGATGGAGGAAAAGATTACAGTGTCCTGATACAGGCAGAGTGAAAATGACCCCAGCATTTACCTTTGTCTTCTCTGTGTTTTCAGTTGGGATGCAGCTGCTGTTCCTCACGGGAACCAAATGAGGTCCAGAATCTGCTAAGGGCCAGAGAAGGGAATGGGGCTAAATCTGGCTTGCATGTTCTGTGCAGAATAAGAAACCCTCCATGCCCTCTGCTGCCATCTCACTCTCTTTGCCACATTCAGGTCACTTACCAGAGGCACAGGGTTTATTGGCCAGATACCTCAGAGGACCCTGGAGCCCTCTGGGCCTCAGCCTTTAGGAAGACACCACAGAGCCCTGGTCCAGGGGTTTTCTTAACTCTCGATAGGCTGTGGACAGGTCGGGTGCTAACCAGCTGGAAATGAGCTTTAAATCAGGGGTTCCCAGTACATATCAAAGGAAATCACCCATCATGTGAGCACAGACTCCAAATTAAAATAGAAACAGCCATGGATGGGAAGAACATCTATAGGCCCAGGACAGGAGCAGCACTGCTCCTTTTCTTCAAGCTATAGGGGCATTTAAAATTCTGTGGATTCCATAGTGAATCTAACTTCCATATCTCACAAAGCATTGCCAATATTTATGAACAGAAATGAACGTAAAGAGACTAACAGTCATGAGAAAAGGTAAGAGCTACAGAAATTAAATGGAGGCTGGGTGCGGTGGCTCACACTTATAATCCCAGCACTTTGGAAGGCTGAGGCAGGCAGATCACTTGAGGTCGAGAGTAGAGACAAGCCTGGCCAACATGGTGAAACTCTGTCTCTACTAAAAACACAAAAAGGAAAAAAAAGTTGCCAGGCATGGTGGCAGGCACATGTAGTCCCAGCTACTTGGGAGGCTGAGGCAGGAGAATTGCTTGAACCTGGGAGGTGGCGGTTGCAGTGAGCAAAAATCACGCCACTGCACTTCAGCCTGGGTGACAGAGCAAGGGTTTCAAAAAGAAAAGAAAAGAAAGAAAGAAATTAACTGGAAAGTTTTAGGGTCATACTTCAAATGTTAGAGGAGTAACATTACATAGAAATTTAGCTTACTAAAGGAGTTATATAGTTCACGATAAACAATTTAAACAAGCAAAAAGAATGAAGAAAGTTCCAAAAGTGCAAATAAATACTTCTTTTCTTAAAGCAGATCTCATGATACTGCTTTATTGATCCATGAAGATATTGCCTGAAAATCTCTGCTCTCATCAGCACTTACAGCTCCCATTTTAAAATGCTATTGTTGTTACTTTTCTCAAGTGAAAGAAAAATAAAGCCTTCACAGTAACTCAAGGTGGGACGGGGAGCTGACCCATTTGCCTTGTAGGCCCATCTTCACAGTTAAATGTAACCAAGATGTCAGGATGGGGCAATGTCCACAGTCAGTGGAGGGGCCTGAGCTCCACCATTCACAGGGGACCAGCCAAGAGCCATTCAGCTAGGGCACCTGAGAAAAAGGGGGTCCTGCCACCCAATGGCACAACTGTTCTCTTCATAAGTGCTTGGAACTGTTTCCAGGAAACATGACAATTACCCCACCTGAGCCCTCACCCCTAAAAGGAGAAGCAGGGTGTGTGGATTGCACAGCAGAAATTAAGCAGCTGCCTTCACAGGAGCTCCTACCTCTCCAGAAAGGGTTCTCTAGGGCCAGGTGTTTCTGGGCTGGCTCCTCACTCATGTGTCTCTCTGGCCCTCTCTTCTTTTTCCTCATTTCTCATCTAGAAGACAGAGAAAGAATTGACTTGAAGAAGAGTTAAAACACCACGTTCTTTACGAGACACTCAAAGCCTCATCTTAAAACAAAAACATCCTTAAAAATGACCATCACAACTGGGCGTGGTGGCTCACACCTGCAATCCCAGCACTTTGGGAAGCTGAGGTGGGTGAATTACCTGAGGTCAGGAGTTCAAGACCAGCCTAACCAACGAAACTCTGTCTCTACTAAAAATACAAAATTAGTCAGGCATAGTGGCACATGCTTTTAATTCCATCTGCTCGGGAGCCTGAGGCAGAGAATTGCTTGAACCTGGAAGGTGGAGGTTGCAGTGAGCTGAGATTGCACCACTGCACTCCAGCCTGCGTGACAGAGTGAGACTCCAGCTCAAAAAGAAAAAAAATCCATCACAATGACCTACCTGTGCTGCTTGTAGGCAGCCTTCCTCTCTGCCATCTCCCTATCCAAGGCTTGAGCACAGAGCTGAGGGGAGAAAAATACATCCATGTCCTGACCTGGCTGACTATGCCCAAAAGCAAGGAAGACAAACAAAACTTATCCAGTTGTCAAGTGGGTACTTACCCTTCTTGCAGAAGGGGCCATCTGAAAAAGCCACCATGCCCAGCCTGAAAGAACTTCTTTCAAGTTCTTTGTAGAATTTGATTTTTCTGGTTTTGTTACCTGAGAGTTAAAATCAGAAGTGGTACATTAAAAAACATCCCCTACCTGGGTGTGGTGGCTCATGCTTGTAACCCCAGCACTTTGAGAGGCCGAGGTGGGTGGATCACTTGAGATTGGGAGTTTGAGACCATCCTGGCAAACATGGTGAAACCCCATCTCTACTAAAAATACAAAAATTAGGTGGGTGTGGTGGTGACTGCCTGTCATTCCAGCTGCTCGTGGGGTGCTGAGGCAGGAGAATCACTTAAACCCAGGAGGAAGAGGTTGCAGTGAGCCAAGATCACACCATTATATTCCAGTCTGGGTGACAGAGCCAGACTCTGTCAAAAACAAAACAAAACAAAAAAACTTCCCCCAATTTATATTAATAATTCTCTGTTCAGTACTAAGTGGGGTAGAGACTGTTAAATGTGGCAGGACATGGTGGCTCACACCTGTAATCCCAGCACTTTGGGAGGCCGAGGCAGGTGGATCACCTGAGTTCAGAGTTCAAGACCAGCCTGGCAAAAATGGTGAAATTCCGTCTCTACCAAAAATATAAAAATTAGCTGGGCATGGTGGTGCATGTCTGTAATTCCAGCTACTTGGGAGGCTGGGGCAGGAGACTCACTGGAACCTGGGAGGCAGAGGTTGCAGTGAGCTGAAATTGTGCCACTGCACTCCAGCCTGGGCCAGAGAGTGAGACTCTGTTTCAAAAAAAAAAAAAGGAGAAACTGTTAAATGTGCCTAGATATCTTCATAACTCATCTAATTTCTGTTTTCTACATATCTTGAAAGGCAGTCCCGAATGGCGGGTAATTATCTGGGTTGTAAAAATAAAACATACTTCATCTTCCCTTAAATATAAAACAGCATTGTGGGATTATTGCTTTTTTCTTGGATCATTGTTGAGAAGGAGGGTCAGCCCCCAGACAACCACATTTTTACTGTCATGAGAGGCAAGAGAAAATATAGAGCTCAATTTATCCAATGGACAAAAAGCCTCAAATTCTGGCACAACTTAGCTGCCAAATTCCTGTCAAGTACAGACTTTGGACATGCTGATCCCTCTCCACCTGCAACCGGAAACATGCACTTTGAGTGACGTCATTCGAAATTACCCTGCCCAGACACACTTTTCATTGATTCTCTGATGAGCAGTTCCAACAGATTCTCTGGGGCTTTCTCTGCATCATGAGAGACAGTGCGGCTCTGCCCTTCACCTTCCTGCAGTTTGTTGCCTCTTCCCTATGATCTCAGAGGAACTTTGTCTCAGGCCAACTGTTTGTTACTTGGGCTCTTTCATTTCCCATAAAAATCACTTAAGTTGATTTTTAAGTTGCCCTTATCTCCGTCTATCTCCCTCTCTCCTGAAAAGAGGGTGCTCTGTAAGCATTAACCATCTGACCCTTCTTGTAGTCTTATTTTTTGGCTGGCTCCCATGTTTATGCCTGTTCTGTGTTCTTCTTCTCCTGTTAAGCTGTCTGTTGTTAGTTCATTTTGGCAGTGAACCTTTAGAGAGGAAACTGAAAGCTTTCCTTTCAGCCATGCAATAGAATTATAAAGCAGAGAAGTTTAGACAGAATTTCCTATTTAAGTGCCAAAACTTCATACTCCATTTCTGATAAAGAGCACAAAGGTTAAAAAAAAAAAAAAACAACTTATTTTTGACCCAGAGCTCTATTGACATTCTATCAAACAAACACCAACCTATTTAATTTTCATTATGTAAATTGCAGATGTTTTTATAATTCTTATGCTAATAAATCATTTCCCTGATGTTTTTGGTAAAACCTAATATTCATAATAAAGTCCAGAACCATGAATTATTTTAAATAATTTCTTATTTGTGATTACAAGTATACCTCTACAGGAAGTTAGTATACTCACACAAAAGCTAATTTTTCAGAGGAAAAGTCCAACTGTAGAAACTCACAGAAACACAATAGTGATAAGCATCCACAGAACACCAAGAAAGTCATGCCCAGGATACAAATAATCAGGTGGAAAACTGATCGCCTGGAATAATAACAGTTGAAATAATGAAAATGTCAATGACATTTACAACATTTCAGTAAAAAATAATAATCTTTAGAAACCATCAACCTCCTCCAAGAGGTAACCACACCCCTCAGATATTACCAGGGGATTCCACTACTTCAAAAAAGATTGGAAGTTACCAGTCTCATGTTTTTTGCATGGCTGGTAGTGTTTTTAGGCATTCTAAATGTAGAGTGTCTTTTTCTCTTGATGTAAAGCAGGGATATCCAATTTTTTTTGGCTTCCCTGTGCAATATTAAAAGAAGAAAACTTGTCTTAGGCCACACATAAAATGCATTAACACTAACAATAGGTGATGATCTAAAAAAAAAAAAATCACAAAAAGGCCAGGCGCAGTGGCTCATGCCTGTAATCCCAGCACCTTGGGAAGCTGAGGCTAGCAGATCAGCTGAGATCAGGAGTTCTAGACCAGTTTGGCAAATATGGTGAAACCTCATCTCTACCAAAAATACAAAAATTAGTCAGGTGTGGTGGCAGGTGCCTGGAATCCTGCTCAGGAGGCTGAGGCAGAAGAATTGCTTGAACGAGGGAGGCGGAGGTTGCAGTGAGCCGAGATTGGGCCCTTGCTCTCTAGCCTGGGAGACAAGAGGGAGACTTTGTCTCAAAAAAAAAAAATCACAAAAATTCTTTTTTTTTTTTTTTAGACAGTGTCCTGCTCAGTCACCCAGGCTAGAGTGCAGTGGCACAACCTCGGCTCACTGCAACCTCCGCCACCTGGGTTCAATCCATTCTCCTGTCTCAGCCTCCTGAGTAGCTGGTATTACAGGCACCTGCCACCATGCCTGGCTAATTTTTATGTTTTTAGTAGAGACAGAGTTTCACCATGTTGGTCAGGCTGATCTGGAACTCCTGACCTCAAATGATCCACTGGCTTCAGCCTCCCAATTATAGGCATGAGACACCACACCTGGCCTGTCATTTCTTTATATTTGGATAACATAAGGACTTTAAGACCCTTTCTCCTTTGGGTCAATCAATGCTCTGCACCATACACATTTTACAAAACAAGGGACAATACAGTCCTCATTCACATCCTGGTCATGTCACTCCTAGTGACTCACGCATTGCAAACCTCCCAGCAGGTGCAGCCCTTTCCTCTCCATCTGATGAGCTTCTCAGCTCCCATCACACTGACTGGACACAGACTCCCTAGAGGCAGCCCCCAAGAGCAGAAGACACTGATGACACAGGGGTTCCTAAAAAGTCATCAAGCCAGATGACACAAAACTCAAATGACATTTCACTTGTTTTGGTTCATTTTGTTTGAGGCAAGAGGGGTCCGACTGATCTTTTTTGGAATCTTTTGTAGAGAACGGGTTTGGCTCTGATGTCCAGGCTAGTGTTAAACTCCTGAACTCAGGTGATCTGCCCACCTTAACCCCCCAAAGCACTGAAATTACAGGCCTGCACTGTGTAATTTGCCATGTAATGCAGCCCAATAACAAGGAAGAAACCCCACAGGTCCAGTGTCTATTCACACGGGTGGATTGATGGCTGGGAAACCCCAGCAGGAGGAGCCAAAAGAGCAGCCACTGCACTGCATGTCCTGGTCCTCTCCTGAGGCGGCCAGGACAGAGGTGGGAGTGGCTTAGGGCTGGAGGAGGGAAGGGGATGGGATGGGGCGGGATCTGAGTTGGGGAAGAGAGGGGAAGGTGAGGGGGATGTTGGGCACCTGGAGGAGGGGGAGGAGAAAGGGGTCTGGGAAAGGATCCGGTTCAAACTAAGTCTTTAAGGGCGAATGGGAGGTTCAGCTACAAGTCAGGGAGAAAGTCTATCAGGGAAGCAACAGGACATGCAGGGCAAGAAAGCGGGAGGCTCAGGAGCAATAAGACGGAGACCAGGCACTGGTTTTCACTAACCCTTCTCCTGCCTGGGTGCTGCCTAAGCAACTCTGGGGCTTTATACTCCCTCTCCACCAATCCCCGGCCCCTGAACATGGTGCCTCACAGTGGACATTCCATGGAGCACATGCGTCCTCCAATGCCTCTCCCCCATCTCAGTCCCCCATGCACCTCCCAAGGACAGGTCCTCTCTGGAAACTTCACAGAACTGATTTCTGGTCTTCCCCACTAGCTCCCTGTCCCTGCTTCTGGGTGGTTCCTTCATGAGCTCCCAGTGTTTCTCATGGTCAGTCTTGGCTGCAAAACATAAGAAACAAATGATGGCAGACGGCAGGAAGAACCTCACACACAAGCACAGTGGGAGGCTCCGCAGCCCCTCTCAGCCATTCATATTCTAAGCAACAAAACATCAGAAGGATGCAGAAGATCCCAATAGTAAACTATCTCCATCACATCCATGGAGCCATCCATCCATCATTCAGTATCCTGGGAACAAATGTTGGAGCTACCTTGGTTTTAAGCATGAATGGTACATTTACAAAAATTAACCTTATTTTATTCATCAAGCAAATCTCAATATAGTTCAGACAAATCCAATCACACAGCAGGTTTTTGATAACAGAATTGTGCTAGAAGTTAATGATTAAAAGCTAACCCAAAATTACTATATGCTTGGAAATCCAAAGTGCCCTTATAAGATATCAACAGAAGAAAGAATCCAAAATGAAACAAGACTGCCTTTACACTTGGTGGTAAGATCATAACATGGCAATCAAATGTCTCCCTCTGGCCGGGGAATTCCACTGTGTGGCACAGGGTCGTGTGGTCTCAAATCACACCTAACCCACCTAGACATGTTAACATCTGAAACAGGGTGATGGTGTCACTTATTTATATTATCTTACTGCCTGTGAAGTTGGACTTTTAATTCTGAACCCTAATGAGGGGGAGAAAACCAAGTTGACTCTCATGGTTGAGCTCCCAGGGATGTCCAAGGAATCTGTGCATTTCAAGAGACAAAGTTCATCAGCCTCTCTCCTGGGGGATTTGACCACAATACCCAGATGGTTTGGCAGTATCATGAGTGATGGCTAGGGAGTGCCAAGCTGGTGAGCAGGACCCAGGAGTCTGGTGACCAGGTCAGACCCCCATTGTCCATTATCTTTCATGGACTCATCCTCAGCTAAACTTCCCAAAGGCCTGCTTCTGCCTCATCACACAGGGTGTGATCAAACTTCGGCCTCTCACAGCTGAAAACCACTGCTTTAAATCTCCTTACAATTTACTATGACAAAGTTATTATAAGCTGCAAATACTCTATTCATGCTACAGATGGAAAGCCAATGCCTTTACCATAAATAGAAAAACAACCCTGAGACACAAGGAAAACCAAAAACAGGGATAACACAACTATGGCATTCAATTCTATTTGTATGCTGTCACCAGCATAAAGAGCCCTGGATTTGGGTTGTCTTGGTTGTAAAAGGAGAGACCAAGTAAGTGGGTGTTGAAGTCAGATTAGCCCAAAAGTGAATGGCAGACAGTACCATGATGTCCATGAAGGGTTGTTGGGGTTACCTTGATTATAACCCAAGCAGAGACAGGGCAAGGAAGGAGATGTGAGCAGTTTGGGGCCTCCAACCTGGGAGGTGATTCATGCAGCCCAGGAAAGGCTCCTCAAAGCCAGGGTCAACCTCCCTTGCAAGCAGGTCCCTCATGGATGCAGGGCCAGGCACCTTAGATTTGAGACCAGCTGTGCTGCTGACCAGCTGTGCTGCTGACCAGCTGTGTGACCCTGGGCGGGTTTCCTTCCACACAATGGGAGTGTAATGGCTGTGTCAAAGACTGTCTGAGGAGAGGAAGAAGTAACCTGTTGAGCAACTGTGTACTGTCATCACCTCCCAAGGACATCTTTCCTTCCAGAGCTGGCACCTTGGAAGGTCCCTGGCCACTAAAGACAGTAATGAGGATAATGGCAGTAAATCATCATTTGTGGCTGTTGAGGGAGGGCCAGGGGGTAGGGCTCCTATGTCCTTGATAAGGATGAGGGTCTGGTGACTCTTGGGGACAGCTGAGTGAGTCCTGTTGGTCTCCTGGGTCCCCAGGGGGCAGGTCCATCTTCAGTGGCATTGGGCCTAGGCTGGGATGCTGGGGCAGCCACTGGAGCATCAGCAGTACAAACAGCCACTGAGGCAGTGGATCCATGAGAGGTGGCAGGTGTAGGATCATCAGTCCATCAAGTACAGTCACCAAGCCTGGCTGACCACTGCCCCCCACAGACGATGCCCTGTCCCTTGCATCACACTTTGGTAGGGCAGTGGCTGGCATCTGGTGCCTCACGGAGCATCCCTCTAAGACCTCTGTGTCCTGGTCATTGAATGGGCACTTGAGACACCCAGGGCCATTGGAACAAGGAGGAAGAATCAGGCCCCATGATGTTTTGGGACAGTTTAGCACAGGAAAATGCACAGAATGTATGCACAACAGGGGAACTGTTGGCGTGGGAGCCAATATTTTATGACCTCCAGCCCTAATCTGAGCACTCTCACCTGTGCAATCTGAAGGAAACAGGAGACTTGCAGGAAAGATAGCGCTTGGATTTAACTTAAAGGAAGAAAATGTTGAATGTTCACACTTCTGATATCCCTCTAAATCAACCCTCTCAATGCACCCATCTTCACCGCTATCATATGGGATAACTGAGGCAGGCAGAGATTTACTGACTCAGTGCCACCCAGTTGAGTCTGAGTTCACTGCTGATCACATCTGAACAAACTGCTTTTTCTGAAGTTTACCCCATTTGATCATGCTGCTGCTGATTTTGTGCAGCTCTGGGACAAACCGCACCTGGTTAAGGATAAAGCAAATCCGAGGTGACTCAGTCCTGCTGTCATTTCCCATCAATTCCCCACTCTCCTCCTCTGCCCCTTCACAGTCTCCCGCACGGCTGACACCATATGGTGGCCTTAATGGAGTTCACTGAATATTTCAGGTTCTCCTCTGGGCCCCTTGAAGGTGGAGGTAGCTAAGGGATTTGCTTTGACTTAGATGTGCGTGGAAGTGAAGGGTGTCACCTCGAGGCAAAAGGGTGGGAGCCATTGAGACTGGCCATACTTTCCTTCATCTCTTAGAGCTGCTGATAGGTCCCATATAGAGGCTTCTCTTTTATTCTGGTGGCAGATGTGAGGTTGTGAAGCACAGGGCCCAGGGGAGCCATGAAGGACGGGTAGCATGAGCAGGAGAAGAGCCTTCAGTATTGTAAATTTCCATTGTTTGGGGCTGTTTATTACCTGCAGTGATACCTGGTCCATCCTAGCAGGCACACACCATCTATTCCATGCTCTGTGAAGCAGACTAGCCTACTGTCAGAATATGAACTAGTTGTGAGGCACATAATAGGCTTCAGTTCCAGCTCTGCCTCTTATTGACCGCAACCTCAGGCATTTAACTTTCAGTCTCTGAGCCTCAGTTTCAACTCTGTAAAATGGGCTGGCTATATTACCTCAGGTTGTGGAGAGAATTAAATGAAATAAAAAGGCAGGTAGAGCATTGAGCCCAGGGCCTGGCACACACAGTGAGTACTCAACATTAGCCATGTAGCTTCAGAATGCAAATTGATTGTCAATACCCAGACAATGCAGCAAAGTATTACAAAAAGAGAAATGTAAACTTATTTGTATATGTATTCCTTCAATCTTTATTTTTCAACACATAGGATAAAACTATGAACAAGGCACAGTGGCTCATGCCTGTCCCAGCACTTTGGGAGGCCGTGGTGGGCGGATCACCAGGTCAGGAGTTCGAGATCAGTCTGGCCAATATGGTGAAATCATGTCTTTACTAAAAAATACAAAAGTTAGCCAGGCATGGTGGTGCACACCTGTAGTCCCAGCTACTCAGGAGGCTGAGGCAGGAGAATCGCTTGAACCCAGGGAGGTGAAGGTTGCAGTGAGCTGAGATCACAACACTGCACTTCAGCCTGAGCAACAGAGTGAGACTCTGTCTCAAAAAATAATAAACCATGTATATTCTTTTGTAGCCAATGGTTTTCTCTTAAATGGTATATCATTAAAATATTTTTAGCTCAAAAACAAAAGATCATTTTTGAGATTATCATTTTAATAAGACAATGCTCAATTTAAGGAGTAATTTAAGTATTACTATTGGACTTTTTGTAGATTGCAAAGAGCATTCAAAACAAATGGAGAATTAAATATGTATTAAATATTGTAAATATGATTTTGTTAAGTCTTTTATTCAGAAATATAGAACATATATATGTAATATAGAATTTATTTATTATGAGTCATGTTAAAAAATTGAAAGATTGCCTGAGGTCAGGAGTTCAAGACTAGCTTGGCTAACATGGCGAAACCTCATCTTTACTAAAAATACAAACATTAGCTGGGCGTGGTGGCACATGCCTATAGTTCCAGCTACTTGGGAGGCTGAGACAGGAGAATCGCTTGGACCCAGGAAGTGGAGGTTGCAGTGAGCCGAGATCTCACCATTGCACTGAAGCCTGGGCGAGAGAGCATGACTCTGCCTCAAATAAATAAATAAATAAACAAACAAATAAATAACATTTTTAAGTACCAATGGGCACTTGTCTGGTTGTTTTTCTTTCTTTAGGTTAACATGCCAGCAGTGATTCTTTTTGAGTTTATGACACAAGATAGTGGTTTT